GGAAAGGACCTAAATGTGCCCCACAACCCCAGGAGCTTGCATCTGTGGTAATCTTTCTGGGTCTCTTTTGAGACCAGGGCTGACCCGCTATCAGATTTTGACGACTGATCCACCAATTTAGATCCAGTAAATTGTTCTGAGGCGGACTGTGTCCAGGGAAGTGCGACTGATTCCATGAAGCTAGCAAAAAGGCCTACAAGCCTTCTCGAATGCAGCTGGGCCCAGGTAACTCCGGGAATGGCCGCTGTCAGGCCAAGAACTTTCATAATCCTCAAGGACATCTGGTGCTTAATCTGGAGATTCTGGACTGAGGACATCAACTTCTGAACCGTTGGTTCTGTTAGAAACAGTTTCTGAGCAACTGAATCCACTCGGTAAACCAAGAACGCCACCATGTTGGACGGCTCCAGAGTGGACTCCTTTAGGTTTACTAACCAAACTAGAGAACTCAGTTCTGAGAGAGCTAGACTTAAAGTAGAGTTCTAGTGAAAATGTAAAAAACCAAATAAAAAAAAAAAGAAAGTGAGCAGCTACAAAAACTGTAGTTACAAAAAAAAAAAAAAAAAAAAAAAAAAAAACCCCCAAAAAAAAAAAAGCCACTCACCTGTCCCCTGATCCAGCAGTGTCCCCCCCCTACCCACAGCTCATTTCACCAGCCATCCTGTGTTCCCGGCGCTGGCATATTCAGTGTGGGCACCCGGCTGTTACAGCTTCACAGCCGGATGCCCACTGCACATGCACGAGTAGTGCTGCACTTTCTGAATGGTCCCCTAGTCTTCAGAGACTGGTCACGTGTCTAGGCAATCGCAGCAAAAGTGGGAGCGGGTACCTGTCAAATTTCAGGTACCCGCTCCCCAAAGGTGCCAATCCCTTAATGGAGAAGCTCCCCCTTTTCCCTTGGTCTTATCAAAAGACCAGCACTTTCTATCAGACTGAGGTTTCTTGGGGTCGAAGCAACTCTTTGCCTGCATGCTCCGAAAGGGCACCTTACCACAAAAATGCTTTCTCTTCACTGCTGTATTCTGAGGAACAAGAAAGAATAGTCTGAAGACCAGAACCAATTAATAGATTGCCTTCTAAAGGTAAGCTACAAGGCTTGGCCTTGGAGGACAAATCTCCCTTCCCAAGCATTGAGCCAAATAGCTCTGCAAGCAGTTTAAAAGTGCAGAAGTCCTGGCTGTAGCCCTAAACACTCTCTGCTGCAGCATCTGCTAGGAAGGCTACTGACTTGGAAATAAGTGGCAGAGCTTCCTGGACCTGAGCAATAGGGGTATCTGTAGAGAGAAGTTCATCCAGCTTGTCAACTCCCAGGCCCAGGCATTTTTGTTTTTTTTGCAATGACTCTGCCTTCCTATCCATCTGGTCTTTAATAACTTCTGCATCTTCAAAAGGACAAGTCAGCATCCTTGGAGACCTGAGAAAGGTGGGCATCTAATTTGGGACAATTAAAGAATATCTCCCCTCTGGACTAAACAGAAATCTCGACTTACGGTTTCTGGAGAGAAACTCGGATGTATAAATAGCCTTCAGTAACTGATGTGTCTCCTCCACTGGAAAGAGAAATCTGCTGGAATAACCTTCTCGTGCATCTCCATCCCTCTGCATCTGAACACACATTTCCAGAAGACCAGGGAGACCTTCCTCCCCTCCTCCTCTGAGTCAGATGCTGTGTGTGTTATATGCGTACCAAAGGAAGGGAAAACAAAAACGAGTGCGTTCAGTAGGAAGGGAAGCAGCCTGAGATGTAGAATGTTCTTCAGAAACCACAGATCTAGCAAAGTGGAAATCATTTCTTCCCACATAGATCACATGAAATTGTTAGAGACAGAATCAGAATCGGCAACAGATAAAATACATTTCTCACAAATTTTTTTAATGTATGAATTCAAGAGCTTGGAGCCACAGCTTCCACATATCCTCCTGGATTTGTGAGCTACCTGGGGAAAATCAAAGAGAAAAATATATACAGCCTACTGGAGCCTCTATGCGACCCCCCACACCTCCCACTATTCCTCAAAGCAGAGGTTCAGCTGTCCCTTACCTCAGTAGCCGGGGCCTTGGACCCTTCAGCGGAGGTGCCTGGCTGGGCAGCTGGCTTAGCCTTAGTGGTGTCTGACCTTATCTCCACGTCTCCTTCCTGCATGCTGGGGTGCTGCAGGCCACTGCGCCGCTATCAAGGATATACTGGCATCACCAGTGCTTCCTTTAATGTAGAACTGGTTCACAAATAGAGAAGACAGCAACTCTGTTTAAAAAATGGCGCCTCAGCGTTTCTCCGTTGGCCAGAAGCGATTCGTGAGGCGCCTGAAGTACTGCCACCATCTTGGTACACCCCCCTCCAGCCGCTTTTACCGCTGGAAGTGACGCACTGCTGACATCATGGAGGGACCCAGGAGAGACACCATGAGGACCACCAGCAGGGGAAAAAACAACCACCATGGGGATACCGAATATCCCAATGACTCCATCCTTTCCCCAGCATAATTATCCTCCCCACTGACTGCCATCCGGTCCTCCTGGAAACAAATGCCTGGTGCCAAAGAGGAGCTTCTGGATGAGGTCCATAGAAACAGGAGAGTGAGATCCAGGTAACAAAACTCAAACCTTGTCAGTGCCAAAAACACTCCCTGAGGTCATACCCACAAGTAGGCTTATGAGGATTTAAGAAGGAACATAGGAAGTAACCACAATTACCTGCACAGGATAGGAAAAAAAAAAAAAAAAAAAAAAAAAAAAAAGACGGACTAGTGATGTGTTCATCTGGTCATCTGGAGGGTTGGAAACACAATAATTACTGAGGATGAGGGGGAAGGAAGGGTTTTTAACTTGTCTCATTATTGCGTTTCTCATGCTGTCCTGGAAGACGTTTAGGGAAATTATAGTCCCCTTAACTTCTCGCAACTCTTCGCAGTTTCATTGTCCAGCGACATAAGAAGAATTAAACTAAGCCAGAAAAATAAAAGTCATCTTTCAGGCAATGACCAAAAAGAGTTTAACAAAAGGCACTCAAAACAGTCGAACAGGTTCATTAAAACCACATAGAAAAACACACTAAAAAGGCTAGCATCCAAAGATGCCTCTTCCTCTACTTGTTTGTATTCCTGACGGGCTATTGTTTAACAGAATATGAAACTGTTCATGATACAAGTCACAGCAGCCCATCTGTTAGACCTGGGATGCTGTATTGAGCTAGCTATATTACAGAATTGGCAACGATGTCACTAACTATTGCTATTTTGAAAACTCAGTCTTGTCACTGCATTAAGAAGGATCAAGCACTCTGGATATCAAGTATTGTGAAGTTCAACCCCCCCCCCCCCCCCCGCCACTTTTTTTTTTTACTTGAACTCATTAGGGTATAGGATATAAAAATATCACTTTATACCAATTGTACCAAAAACAGCTAGCGACACCCTCATCATCTGATATGGTTTCATCCAAAATTACTTCCTCCAGGACCGCCCACTGATATTTATTATCTTCATTATAACTTCCTGTACATTTCCATACTTTAAAACAATGATTTTATCAATTAGGATAAGGGAGGGTTAAATGGCAGAATTTAAGAGTTAGTGGATAAGAGATTAAAATATTACAAGAAGGATATTAATTTATTTTAATGAGATATTGTTTTTGAGCACATTTCTTTGCTGGTACTGCTAACAATCAGGTGGGTGTGAATGCCCAGGAATGAGGTCTGCAGTGTTCCGCAGAGTCCATGACAGAAGCTCATTGTGGGGAAAAGGGAATGCACAGTGCAAAAAAGCACTGAAAGGAAAACACGAGTGACAGAAATGACCTAAATACAAGCATGCAACAACCAACATATAACTATGTATTTTGTGCGATTGGTAATTGCCTGTGGTGTACTGATGAGGTTTGAGAAGACCAAAGCTGTGAGACCTAATAAAGACAAGAGACCTATTTATTGGCAGATGCTGCCCAAGGAATAGTGAAAAGAGAAATGCAGAGTCACAGATTGGGTTGAATATTGCATATACCGTATATACTCGAGTATAAGCCGAGTTTTTCAGCACATTTTTTTGTGCTGAAAAACGGCCCCCTCGGCTTATTCTCGAGTCAACGTCTGCAGATGACATGCCGTCCCTGTCATCTGGACACACCCCCGGGATCAATCCTCGCCGGTGATTGGCCGCCGAAACTGTAGCTCAGGAGAGGCACACAAGCGCCCAATCACCGGAGAGAGGTGGAGCTTGGAGAGGAGGAGCCGAGCGGCACCGCGAAGATCGAGCGAGCGAGTGAAGAGGAGGAGAGCGGCCTCCCCCACTGACACCAACGATGGGGCACTATTCCTCCCCCCCCACAGACACCAACGATGGGGCACTATTCCTCCCCCCCCCCACTGACACCAACGATGGGGCAGTATTCCTCCCACACTGACACCAACGATGGGGCACTATTCCTCCCCCCACTGACACCAACGATGGGGCACTATTCCTCCCCCCCCCACTGACACCACGATGGGGCACTATTCCTCCCCCCACTGACACCAACGATGGGGCACTATTCCTCCCCCCACTGACACCAACGATGGGGCACTATTCCTCCCCCCACTGACACCAACGATGGGGCACTATTCCTCCCACACTGACACCAACGATGGGGCATTATTCCTCCCACACTGACACCAACGATGGGGCACTATTCCTCCCCCCACTGACACCAACGATGGGGCACTATTCCTCCCCCCACTGACACCAACGATGGGGCACTATTCCTCCCCCCACTGACACCAACGATGGGGCACTATTCCTCCCCCCTCGGCTTATACTCGAGTCAATAGTTTTTCCCAGTTTTTTGTGGTAAAATTAGGTACCTCGGCTTATATTCAGGTCGGCTTATACTCGAGTATATACAGTACTTTTTGTAGCTTCATAACTTTGACACCGATTCTTACATTTATCTGGGACTTCAGGATCCTCAAAATCCACCCCGAAGATAATCAGCTCATCTTGTATACTCTTCACAGACACAGGCATGATGCCAGACTGCTGACCAGGGCGAGTCCTTGTATCCACAATGAAGCCTAAAATAACAAAGAAAAGACAATAAAAGGAGAAATTCTGGCGCACAGAGGTGAGATTATTACAACCTAATACAATATGGATTGTAAACAATATGAATAGTGTCAGATGCCTGCAAGGCAGATGTGTGTATATGTAACTTTTATATGTATAACTCCGTGCTGGAGACAGGCAAGGGTTGAACGTAAATTAACACTTAAAATAATAAATCATATAATGTCCACACATAATAAAGTCTTTAAAAAGTCTCTGGGACACTGTCAGATAGCGGCAGCCATCCTGTAGAGCAAAGCCAACTCTACACACAAACGACAAAAAAGAGAACAGGAGGCACCAGCTAAGTGCAGTAATTGGATGCTGTATTCCATAATACAGGATTAAAAACACTCACAAGAGGCAATAAAATGACAAGCTCATCTGTGTAGGGGAATGTAGCCACTCCTCTCCACCCTGCAGGTACCGCCGGTCATATACCTAGGGTGCCATGGATGCAAGCTGGGACAGTGTGGAGCCGTGTGTGCTGACTGGGAGACCACCCGGATGTCTTGGGGTGCAGCAACACAGTCTGGACAAGGAAGAGTCCATGCAGACCAGTGCGGAACGCACCAGCGGAAGTGACATCACCGGAAGAGGCAGGGGTCCAGATGTGAACACAGAGGACACAAAGAACATAGGCAAAGAACACAGGCTATGCGCTCGCTGGTGCATTACACACTGGTCAGCGTGGACGACTCCTGGTCCAGATGGCGTTGGACCGGCTCTGCTGCACCTCCATGACATCCGGGTGGTCTCCCAACCAGTACACACAGCTCCACACTGTTCCAGCTTACACCATAGGGGATGGTGTCTTTAGATGTTTGATTGGAAGGGATCCTATTTCTATGATAAGTGGCATGAGACTTGGTGGAAAAGTTATCGTTTATGTAATTATGCTTGGAGGCGTTTCTGTTGTTGGAATTAGTACCTCCCTGACTTCCCACATGATTCCCTCTGTGGGTCCTATTGTTTCTGTATGAAAATTTAGGGCACTCCTCACTTATACCTTTGTCTGTTTCTATTGCGTGTATATGGAGAGCCTTCTTCCAATTGAACTCACGCCCTTGTTGATAGTATAGTCTGTCTCTCATATTTCCCAGATTTTTTGCTGATGAGATCTGTTTCGAAACTCACCATATCATATCTGAGGAGTATTTTATTACATTCTCTAAGTGTATCTATCCACTCCCGATTTTAGATCATCCTCCAACCAGGTACACATTTTAGTTAGTCGGAGTCCTCTTGGAACTCTATGTACCTCTAGGTATTTCTCTAGCAAAAGAACGTCCCACCATTGTGTCATCTCTTTCTCTAAAGTATGCTTATAGAACAAAGAAATCATATTATCCTATTAGGGGAATCAAAGCTGGATGTTGGGACGTCATCTTTCCCTTTTGGTAGTTCATATAAATCAATACTGTTCATAAAGCCTTTAGCCAAGGACATGCCTCTTAATTCTCTTTCCTCAATAGATAGCAGCATAATGTAGCCAGAAAATGTCAACTTGCAAACAGTTCCTGTAGTATAAGAGCCTCTCAAGTCCCGAGCAGCTGGAGCCCCCTTGGAACAACAAAAACAGCAAACCCAAATACTCCTGCGCTTGGGGATGGACTCAACATAGGCTATAACCTGGGATGTGCACTCCTTGCTGCCCTCACATTTGGGGAAGTCCAAATGTACTGGATATAAATAAAACAAACAGAGGGCACACCAGCCTAGTGCATTACCTTAAAAAAACATTTATTAAAACAATTAAAATAGGTATTGTACTCACAAAATGACAATAATGTCAAAAGGTACATCATGAAAGAACAGCACTATCCAATCCACACTACATGACTGTCCGCAGTGGAAACCGTGGACTTCCAACAGGCTAATGCGTTTCGAGGACTTGCCTCTTCCTCAGAGCCAACAAACCAAATGCCTGTACCCTCTCTCTTACATACTCTCTAATGGCTTATCCAGAAGCTGCATATGGGCAGTCATTGACTCGCTCGGAGGCAGAGATAAGCATCACATGAGCTGTTCTTTCCACATTAAAAACAGGGAGGACATAATCATCAGGGAAGCTGATAAATTGGTCATTCAGGATAAAAGATACTTCTCTTACTGAAGCCAAAAGATTGAGAATGGTCCCTAATACTTAGGAAAAGCTTCCTAGGGATCCTCTGCCAGAATATAAAGAATCCTTGAGAGAGTTACTAGATGAAGCCTTGGCGTACAAAGTACTAGATGAAGCCTTGGCGTACAAAGTACTAGATGAAGCCTTGGCGTACAAAGTACTAGATGAAGCCTTGGCGTACAAAGTACAAAGTATTATCTAAAAAAATAAGTATCTATTCCTGTTTAAACAATATCCATTGACACCTTATTTCTACCATATACCCAAGATCCATAAAGGTTTGGAAAAGCCCCCGGGGCAGACCAATTATAGCATGTATTGACAGCATCCCCAGCATGTTGGGATGCTACATAGACCACTTCCTTCAAGAGTTAGTCATTGGTCTACCATCATATGTCAGAGACTCGGGACATATGCTGGATATTCTCTAGTCCTTTATTTGGTGCCCCGAATACAAATGGCTCTCCCTAGATGTTACATCACTTTACACATTATTAGACTAGCAGTATTGAATGTTAGCCATTCAGCATTTTTTGGAAAATAACATACCTTCCATTCAGGTCACCTTTCTGCAGAAAGCTATATACTACACACCTACCTTGATCTAGAATTCCAAGCAGATGCAGATGGAAACATCTGCTCTAAAAAACAAAAATTTAAGCCCAGTGTTGGTAACTCATACCTACACGCCAACAGCCGCCATCACCCCAGGTGGATTTGCAATGTCCCCCTTTGGACAATATTGCAGATTAAGGAGAACCTGCACTCCCAGGACTTATTATGAAGAACAGAGTGCTATCCTGACAACTAAGTTCCTGGAAAAGGGGTACAGTGAGGCCCATGTGGAGGAAGCTTATCAGAAATATTGGGTTTAATATGGGGAATGCTCCCCAAATGAATCACACAAGCTCACTACACATACCTGGCAAGGCAAAAAAGATCCTAATACTAAATACACTAATCAAGTTAGATTTTGAACTAAGTACAACACCAAAGCCTTAGAAATACAACGAACCCTACAGAAAAACCAGAACATTCTGAAACAGGATCCCGTTTTGGGACAATGTCTTGCTCCAAGACCGGAAATTGTATTCAGGAAAAACCTAGGGATCTCAGGAGTTATATTGCACCTAGCAGGATCAAGAAATGTACCAGCGAGAACAATACTGCCAGTCCTTGGTCAGTGCTTTTTGATCAAAAACACAGTTATAAAATGTGGGATGACCAACTGTAGGGCCTGTATGTATATGTGGCATAGGAGAAAAAAAAAAAAAAAAAAAAAAAAAGGGAGGTGGTTGGCATAGATGGCCGTGTACATAAGATCAAACATTTTATCAACTGTAGCACTTCTTTTGTCATCTATGGCTTAATTTGCTCATGTGGTCTCCTATACATTGGTTGGACCATAAGCCCACTAAGATTCAGGGTCGGCGAGCATAAGTGCAACATAAATCAATTATAAAGGAGAAGCAACAAAAGTAAAAACAAATACTCTGTACCGCAACATTTCCCAGAAACACATAATGATCCGTCAGGTATGAAAGTATTTGGGATTGAATCCATCAAAGGGGATTCAGAGAGTGGCAGGAAATTTCAAAGATTGTGCAAGAGGGAGACCTATTGGATTTTCACCTTAGGGTCTCTTGCCCCTGGAGGAATCAAAGCAGACCTGGAGATACATGGGGTTGTTCATGGATCCTTCTTCACCCTCCCCTTTTGCTTTTCTTTTTCTCTTGTTCTACAACCTAACATATGTATGTATATTTCTATATAAGCAATTTTGACTGCTATCTTAGAATCATTGAATCAAAGCAACCTAAAAAAAAAAAAAAAAAAAAGCGCACTGAAACAGGTGCTGAAAAAAACCCTGCCCCTCGCTGCCGCCACCGCTCGGTAGTTCTCAGGATTACCTGAGAAACCATCGAACGATCCAGGCGCTGGGCATAGAGATGAGTGAAGGAAAGCACTAGATCAATGCTATTTTTGATCCAATGCTATACTTTGCAGAAGAGAGATGCGGGGTCTTATTGACCCCATATCTCTCCATAAAGAGGACCTGTCACTAATTATTTCTATCACAAGGGATACATGCATTTCTTGTAATAAAGAATAAAAGAGAAAAAAAAAAAAAAAAAAAAGTTTAAAGTGCCCCCATCCCTAGGCCATGCCCACATATGTAAATGGTGTTCAAACCACACACATGAGATATCGCCAGGAACATCAGAGCAAGAGCAATAATTTTCACACTAGACCTCCTCTGTAACTTGACACTGCTAACCTGTAGAAATTTTAAAGCATCACCAATGTAGATTTGTAAGTACCGCAGTTTCATGCCATTCCACGAGCGTGCGCAATTTTAAAGCATGACATGTTGGGTATATTTACTCGCCATAACATCTTCTTTCATATATTATAAAAAACAATTGGCGTATATATATATATATATATATATATATATATATATATATTTTATATATATATATTTTATATTTATTTTTTAATCAAAGAATCTAAAAAATATATATTCATTTTTTAAAAACTGCACATTTCGATTTAGATTTTTGGCCAAGTGCATTTTGAATTTTCGTTACCAGAATTTTCATTTCGGTGCACCATTAATTTATTTATATATATTTTCATTTGTTATACATGGTGGCTAGGTCCATGGGATTCATCATCTTATTATATACAAACACCATATGGAACTCCGTTATTAGTACATTGAGTGCACACATGTATATACACACACACACACACACACACACACACACACACTACTTCTCATCATTGTGTCTTT